GAGGAACGATGGTTTGAGAGAGGAGTAAAGGAGGCCATCTTTGTGAAAAGAAACCGTCCATCATTAAACAGGGGTGGAGGCCTCCAGGTTCAACTGTCCCCCTCTTACAATGCTGTGATTGCTAGTATCACTCAGCCCTCTGTGAACAGTAAACAGCCATCAGGTGCTAATGATCCATTGTTAGGCTGATGGTCCTTCTTGAGCATGTGATCAGCTGGTTCTGGTTGTCAGCAGCAAACTGGTTGATCCACTCTGAGAAGGTGCTATTTAAGAGACTGAGCTGAATACAGCTTCTCAGACTGAGGAAGTCTCTCGGATGAGAGACGAAACGTTTCTACTTTTGTTTTGAATGTCCAGAGGACCAGATTTAACTTTTTTAGATCTTGTGAGCACGATTTGAAAAATGAGACTTCCATGTTGGTGTGTTGCTACATCGAGAACAGTTCCTTTCAAGCACTGGGTCACCATGTCAAAATCAAAGATGGCTGCCACCACACATTTTATTTTATATATATACATATATATGGGGGCCAAGGCCACCCCCCAGTTAAACTCCATCTTGAACTAAACATTTGTTGACTCCAGAAAAACTCACCTTTAAAGTAAAAACATTCAATTTGGTCCTCGGAGACATGAAAGTACCGCTCGTTAAATTTTATGCTTTGATGAAATTAAAACTGAAATAAACAAATATTTCACATTTAGTTTTTTTTCTGTCCCAAAAAAAACATGAATAAATGTTTTTCACCAGCTGCTGATCAAAACTCTGGATTAGTTCAACATTTGTAGGATTTCCCAGACCCGTCCAGATGTTTTGGTTCCCGTCTTGTGAATCTGCATCAGACCTGAACCTGGAAGATGAAAACTGGACCCTCATGGAACCGGGAGCAGGAAACGGACCTGAACAGAACCTGCTTTATAGATCAGGCAGTAAGACCTGGAAGGATACAGATCAAACACTCGTCTGTCTGAAACGTGTGACGACACCGCCTGACCACAACGCACAGCTTCAACCTGACATGTCAACGGTTCCGAGAACAGAACCATGAGGGACGCCACCTCTGATTTGAGGCGCACGACGATTCCGACAGTAGACTATCGGACTGCAGAGAAGACCTGAACAGCTGACTCTCTGGAGAACTAAACCCACACTCAAACAGAACCGTGACCAGAACCTTGTGGTTCTGTGGACAGAAAACTGGACCATGTTTGATTCAATGAAAGGTCATTTTAATAAAATGAGCTGAAGACGGATCAAGTTGGAGCTTCAGACAGTTCACATCAGTTCCAGATGAAGCTTCTCAGCTGAGGGTTTTGTTCCATCAGGAAACGATGCGCCTGTTCAATAAAAATATTGATTATAAATTCTAGAGGCCCACGGGACGTTCTGCTCCGACAGCCTTCAGATTTGATGGTGGCGTCAGAACCCAGCAGAACCTCCGTGTTCCTCCTCCGGAGCTTCAGCTGACTCCACGTCTGTTTTGATCAGCGCTCTCTGAACGATGGACCGGCTCTGGATCCAGACCAGAACCGTTTCTACTCTTCTGCTCCATTTCAGACCGTTGATCCGTTTTAAGAACCATCCTCCACCTGGACTTTATTTTACAGAACTGGACACGTTTCAGCTGCATCGACACGAGCCGAAGTTTTAGCCGTTATTGTAGCTAAATTTTTATTTTTCACAACATTTAGTTACAACATGCAGCTTTGAAGGTTTATATCCCACATCTAGCCTGGACCCAGCCCACTGCAGGAGTTCCTCAGGGTTCAGTGCTTGGACCAACACTCTTTACCTTCTATATATGCTTCATTAGGTGAAGTTATTAAACAGGATACATTTTCATACACAGTGACATTTGTCCTGATCCTGGTTCTGCTAAAGGTTTCTTCCTCATGAGGGAGTTTTTCTTTCCACTGTCGCCTTCATGCTTGTTCAAGATGAGAGTTCAGTGATGGAGTTAAACTCAAAGCTGCTCCTCAGATAAATAATGTTCAATTATTATTTTATAAATGAATATTTCTGTTCAGTGTCTGAGGTGATTCTGTTGTGACTTGGAGAGACAGAAATGAACTGAACTGGAACAGAACCGGGCCTCCCGGCTTGTTGCAGCAAACATCTTCAGACTCTGGAGATGGTTGGGACTGAACGTGCGGCCCGTGCTGCTCACCGCTGCACCACCCCGCCCCCCCGGTGGTGAGCGGGACCACCTGCAGCCTAAACATGAAGCTCACAGCTGATGTTTGTGTAAAGACAGTGATTTATTCCATCTTTGTTGGAAACATTAAATAGAACTTTCTTCAGGACGACAGACGGCAACATTTGGAATTTGACATGTTTACAAACCACAGGACCCCCTCCCCCGCTCAGACGTTTACGAGTGCTCCTCAGCCAGCTTCTCAGCCTTCTGGACCACCTCCTCGATGGGGCCCACCATGTAGAAGGCCTGCTCGGGCAGAGCGTCGTACTCCCCTGGACAAGACAAGAACCGGGCGTTAAGCTGCGTCAGCTGGGGGTGTGCGGTCCCACCGAGGCCCCGCCCACACTTACCACCGAGGATGGCCTTGAAGCCTTTGATGGTCTCTTTGAGGGGCACCAGCTTGCCCAGGTGACCCGTGAACACCTCGGCCACCTGGAAGGGCTGTGACAGGAAGCGCTGGATCTTGCGGGCGCGGGCCACCGTCAGCTTGTCCTCCTCGGACAACTCGTCCATTCCCAGGATGGCGATGATGTCCTGAAGGGACTTGTAGTCCTGAGCAGGAAACAAACAGGTCAGGCGGGTCTGTTCAACTGGCAGTTTTAAAAATGGCGGCCGTCGCGTCTCCAACCTGCAGGATCTTCTGCACGCCGCGAGCGATGTCGTAATGCTCCGCCCCCACGATGTTGGGGTCCATGATCCGGGAGGTGGAGTCCAGCGGGTCGACCGCTGGGTAGATCCCCAGCTCGGCGATGGCACGGGACAGCACGGTGGTGGCGTCCAAGTGGGCGAAGGTGGTGGCTGGGGCGGGGTCGGTCAGATCGTCAGCAGGCACGTAGATGGCCTATCAGAGGAAAACAGGAAGTCAGTAACAGGAAGTCCGAAACCTTCAGCGGCTCTCCAGGTCCGCTCCCTACCTGCACGGACGTGATGGAGCCCTTCTTGGTGGTGGTGATCCTCTCCTGCATGGTGCCCATGTCGGTGGCCAGGGTGGGCTGGTAGCCCACAGCCGAGGGGATACGGCCCAGCAAGGCAGACACCTGAAGGGGGAGGAGCCTCATCAGCACCAGACGCACCGTCAAACACAAACAGGAAGCAGAACGCTCAGACCTCAGAGCCCGCCTGCGTGAAGCGGAAGATGTTGTCGATGAAGAGCAGCACGTCCTGACCCTCCTGGTCCCGGAAGTACTCGGCCACGGTCAGTCCGGTCAGAGCCACCCGGGCGCGGGCGCCGGGAGGCTCGTTCATCTGCCCGTACACCAACGCCACCTGTTGAAGACGAGAGGCGGGGTTAGAGTGTGGCGTTCATCAGGGCTGAAGGCGTCCCAGAGGACCCTCACCTTGGAGGTGGTGTCCTTCAGGTTGATGACCCCAGACTCGATCATCTCGTGGTACAGGTCGTTACCCTCGCGGGTTCGCTCCCCCACCCCGGCGAACACAGAGTACCCTCCGTGGGCCTTGGCCACGTTGTTGATCAGCTCCATGATCAGGACGGTCTTCCCCACACCGGCGCCACCGAACAGCCCTGAGGAACACACGTCAGCTTCGTTACCCCCCAGATCCTGAAGACCGCTAACCTGACCCATCAGACGACCAGCGGCTCCTGCAGCTGGGTCTGGACCTCGTGCTGCACCACGTACCAATCTTTCCTCCCTTGGCGTAGGGGGCCAGCAGGTCCACCACCTTGATGCCTGTCACCAGGATCTCCTGCTCCACGCTCATGTCCGTGAACTCGGGGGCCTCGGCGTGGATCGGTGAAGTCCTGAGGACAGAGACAAAGTCAGGACAGGATCGGGTCCAGCAAGGTTCTGGTCCAGGGTGCGAGAAAAGCTGAGGCTGCTCACTGTTTGGTGGTGATGGGGCCCCGCTCATCGATGGGCTCACCGATCACATTCATAATCCGGCCCAGGGTCTCGGGACCCACAGGGATTCTAATAGGGGCACCTGAGTCCAGAACCTTCTGTCCACGGACCAGCCCCTCAGTACCGTCCATAGCGATGGTTCTGACCGTGTTCTCACCTGCAAACAGGAAGTGTTTGGTGTTAACAGGAACCAGCTGGTGCTGATTGGGCTGGATGTGCTGACGGCTCACCCAGATGCTGGGCCACCTCCAGGACCAGCCGGGTGTCCCGGCCGGTCACCTCCAGGGCGTTCAGGATGGGGGGCAGGCCCTCGTCGAACTGGACGTCCACCACGGCCCCGATCACGGCCACGATGCGGCCCGTGGCGGCGCTGGCCGCGGCGGCGGGGGCCGCATAGTCCCGACCTGCGGAGGGATACACAGGAGCAGGGGCGTGAGGCGGCGGAGGGTTTCAGAAACACTGCAGGGTCAAATGTTGGTTCAACGACAGAGCGCGGAGTCCACTGCTCCCAGGTAACCTTTAATCATTTTACACTGGCTGTGTTGAAGAATAAAAGCGACATGAAGTGAATTATGCAGACTCTGCAGCTCCTCATGCTAATAGCTAATGCTAACACTTAGCACCGGGCAGCGCCTCATGTCATCACATAAAGGTCATTTCATTAAAACTCTCTAAATTACACAATCTGTTAACTCGCAACATGTAAGTGCGGTAAACAGGTGCACACAGACCCGCCGGTGTCCATTTTACAATCCTGAAGAGTTCAGTTCAGTTGTAATTTACCACTTTATGACAGAGGCCTGGTCTTCTACCGGCGTGATGCTAACAGCTAACATTAGCATAACCTCCAAATGCGCAACTTATCCTCCGGCCTTTGGGTAAAGAACACCGCAAGCATGACAGACTTACGTGAAAGTACAGCTGGGGATCCAGTAAGAGCCTTGAGAGGCTGGACCCCAGGCCTGAGAGCCTGCAGGGCCCCGGTGCAGCAGCGTCCCACAGCTCCTAACATGCTTAAAATGGCTGAAGGTGGAAAGAGACGGAGCGACTCGCAGCTTTATAATCAACGAGCGCCGGAGCGAACTGCGCCTGCGCGGCCGCTGGAGCGGCTGAACTGAGCATGCGCAGACCTGCACAGCCGGCTGACCTCTGTCTGACAGAAAGTGAGAGCAGCTGAATGACAGCCCAAAGAAAATGAGTGTTTCACTTTATTTAGTAAATGTTTGTTGGAAGATCAGTGTCTCTGTGACCGTTATATTATGCTCACATTATATTTTGAAAGCTTGAACCAGAAATCAGGTGAATTTAAAGGATTTTACCTCAACATAAACTAGTGGCACTTTGTCACACTTTTGTCGCTAATCTGCTTTTTTATTCTTGTGAACTTTTATTTTTTTAAGAGTGTGATGTCCAGCCTGTCAGAAAATCATGACTGGATGCTGTTACAACAAATATTAGAAGTAATTTTTCAGGAGTTCAGGTTGAAGTTTGGCTAAATGTGCAGATGATGTCATGAATAATCATGATACCATACCATAATAATCAAAGACAGCACGAGCCACACGTCTGGACAATTTTATACTTTTCTATTTACACGCTTCCAGTCCAAGATGGAGGACGAACGTTAACCAAAACACAAAAGGGTCCAAGATGGTGCAGAGGCAGGGCGGCCGACCACATGTTGTGGTGTCTCTGAGCCGGACACCCAATCCCCACTTGCTCCCCGGGTGCCCACATAGCTGCCCACTGATCCACCTGGTGCACCTCAGGTGCGATTTTAAATGCAGAGAACTGATGTCATCGAGAAACATCCGATGATGACATCACAGTGATGTCACAGACTGTTGGTGTGGTAGTAGCTGAGAATTACTCGCAGCACGGACTCTGAGCTCCTTCACATCCTGCAGGAACCAGTGGATGGAGGTTCTGTCAGATCCGACCGGACTGTCACAAGAGGGCGCTGCCAGACCAGAAGACCTGAACTCAGCTCCTGGAGTCCAGAGACTGGGTCCAGAGACTGGGTCCAGAGACTGGGTCCAGGGACCGGGTCCAGAGACTGGGTCCAGGGACTGTGTCCAGAGACTGGGTCCAGGGACTGAGTCCAGAGACTGAGTCCAGAGACTGGGTCCAGAGACTGAGTCCAGAGACTGGGTCCAGAGACTGGGTCCAG